GAATTTCAGCTCCTAGATATTTGAGAGGATTGAGAGCCACAGAAGCAAAGTCAAACATGACTTACAGGTTCTGTGTTTGAGTAACTGGGTGGATGTCAGCACCTCAACTAAAACAACAGAGGAGCAGAGTGGGGTGGGGTCAGGGCAGGCAGGGTTGAGTTGGTGCAAGAAAAGCTTGCATGTGTTCAACTTGATACACTTGAATTTGAGATGCTTATATGGGCAGAAGTCTCTAATCTTTGTCTCAAGGTGATAGTAAGCTAGGCACGGTGGTGCATACCCATAGTCAGAGCTACTCAGGGAGGCTGAGATGGAAGGATGGCTTGAGCCCATGAGTTCAAGACCAGCCTGGGTGATACAGAAGACCTTGTCTAAAACAAAAAACTTCCAAATCAAGCCGATGGGTGTCAAGGGTATGATAGCGTCTCCCCTGCCTCTGGCATTTCATTGGTAGTGGGTAAGATCATCCAAGGAAAATGTAGATTCAGAAGGGTTGTGAATGTACTCCTGAAGACCACCCACATTTACAGACCAGGGCAAGAATAAGAAATAGGGAAATGGGTTGGGGCAGGGGAGCGGGTCAGAGAAATGGTCCCAGAAAAAACTGTGGTCTGGAATCAATGAAAGATGAAGTGACTATCACAGCACAGTACAGAAGAGAGGACCAGTGAGCTGAACATCAGAAAATGTCCCCTGGATTTAGCACTGCAAATTCATTTGTAATCTCAGCAAGAGGTGTTTCAGTGGAGGCCTTAGATCAGAAGCTAGATGGGTTGAGGAACAGATATGGTTCTCTTTTGATACAAAATAGAAAAAAACCAATTCCATAAGCCCCATGTTTTTCTTTTCATTTATAAGTACAATAATGGCTTGTATAATAGTGATGGGGCATATAAAAGAATGCAGACAAAATCCATTGGCACAGTGCAGGGAACAGAATAGGCCTTCACAAATAGTATGTTCCATCATTTGATGTTAATAAGCATACATTAAGGACTCTGGCTGGCTGGCCCTTTGCTGGCTGCTTCTCTTTGGGTTTACCTCTGGAACAGCAATATCTCTGGTTGGAGATATTTACCAGGAAGTGGTAAAATCCAGGCTCCTCTACTTACTTATGCTGCTTTAGGCAAGTCATTTCAACTATCTGCCTTAGAAATCTCTAGATTGGTAACAATTATAGTGGCACCTAACTCATGGGGCTATTTTGAGGACTAAATGAGATAGTAATTTAGAACAGGACTTGGCAGAAGGGTGTACAATACAAGCTGAATTATTATTATTTTTTCTTTTTTAACTGCACCATGATCAAGAACATTTGGTGCATGATTCCAGCACTGTCAGTAGTCACTGCATCTTGGCCCTGACCTCTGGTTACTGGCATCTTGCACAATCCTTCATGGCTCTTCCAGCATCTGATCCTGTTCTGTCTTACCTTTGGGTATGAGCACATCCCAACTTGGAGTGCTTTGTATATGCTTCATACACGGCCTCAATACTTGTCTCCAATCTTTATTCTCCCAGTTCTGGGTTCCCTGATTTCTTTTTTAAATCCAGGAAAAAAAAACCTTAGCAATATAAGTGAATGTGTACTAGATATCTACTATCTACCAGGAATTGTCCTAAGTACTTCCCATACATTATTCACATTTCCCATTACACAACAGACTTAAGGTAAGGTTGGAGTCTCAAGACACTGGGTTCAGAGAAATTGGCTTATTATAGATCACAAAGCTAGTCAGGATGCAGACAGGAAATCCAATTGAAGTCCGCCAAACTCCCAAGTACTTTTCATTCACCTTAACAAAGGAGTGCTAGAAATGTGTCTGAGGGGCACAGTTTAGTGAGTGAGGCATGAGTCTACTTAGCAAAGTTTCATAAACAGGCTTCAATACAGTGCTCCAAGAATATATCCATCTAGGTGTACTGATAGGGGAAAAATGTGGGAGAATGACATGAGCAAAGTGCAAGGATGGAACAGTTGAGAGGAAAACACACTGAATTAGAGAAGGATAAGAAAAGGAAAGGTACTCCAGTGCCACAAAAAATACAATTTTTAAAAAGAGGTTAAGTCATCAATGTTGTGTTCACCAAACTTGTAGATTTTAAGATGGACAGTTGGTTCTACTTCCAAGACAACCCTGCCCAGCACTGCCATGCTCTTGATGACAAGCACTGTCTTCCACAGAACTGGAGAATCATCCATGTTTAAGATATTTGCTGTAAGAATAGACTGATTTCTTATCATAAGCAGGTACAGTCGAGAAATGGACTTGTTTCCTAATACACTATTTGCCACTTAAATTTTTGAAAGTTAATTATGGAAGGAAAAGCAAGCAGGTAAAAGGTTTTTCTGGAAAGGAAAAGAGGCTGAGGGGGAGGAAAGAAAACTTAATGGCCAAAGAGACTTTTAAACTCCCAGTGCTCTGCACAGGGGAAGGATTAGAATGAAAATACCTACGATGCAAAACTGGAGTTACATATTCTTACAGCTGTCCAGTCCAGGACAGGCCTTGGTGCCAAGGCACAGACCACATGGTTAATTACTCCATTCCTATAAACTTCCCTTACCCTGCCTACCATAGAATAGTTCCTCCCCCAACACCAAGATCCCTAAATATTTAGGTCCTATTTTAGCACACAGAACATGTAGTTGTAACGACTCCTCAATGTATTTTCTTTCTTCTGGAAGTAAAACAGGGAATTTAAATAGTGAAATTCCTTTGTCCAGACTCTTAAAATTCCCTAGAGGTCTATTCCAGGTATAGTTTCTTTTATTTTTTTGAAATATTTATTATTTTTAGTTGTTCTTGGACGTAACATCTTTATTTTTAGGTGGTGCTAAGGATCAAACCCAAGGCCTCACACATGGTAGGCGAGCTATCAGTGAGCCACAATCCTAGCCCCTCCAGGTATAATTTCTACACCATTTTCCAGCTCTAATTCAGAACTCATGCATCCTTTTTTAACCTCATCTGAACATACTTCAGGTTTTTCAATTTCCCTAATATTTACTGTCCGGCCATCAAGAATTTAATTTCCCTTGACTTCAATTCTTCCCTCAGGATGTGATCAAGTAAAATCCTACATCTAAAACTGCCCTCCTTTAACCCCCCAACTCCTCTTAAGATGGTGAATGAGGGTCTATTCAGAGAATCCCTTTTTGATTAAAATTTCCAAATTTAAATTTTAAAATGCCATTTTAATCAATTTAAATTTTTAAAAACCAGAAACAGTGACCTATAAATCATGATGATAATGATTGCTATTGCTCTATTTCACTCATCACTGGTTAATCCTTCTGTTAAGCAGAGCACACAATATGCTCAAGGGTCAGTTTTATGAGACCTCCTTTGATCATCTTGTACACATTAACAACCTCAATCTTAACTCTACAACCTCATCAACCTGTTCTATTTTTAATTCAGAGCTCTACTCCATTAAGCACTGCATCATTGAAACATAAGTTTTATGAAAGCGCTATCCATTTTCTTCACTACTATTTTGCTAGGTGAGACTAACCTGGCAGCTGAGCAATCAAATACTCAAGGTGAGTTAGTTGGATGGATAATATCTCTGAAGTTATTTAAATATACACACATGCAATAATACACAGATAGCCCATCTGAGGGATGCCTCCAATGACTTAACTTCTTTCCACTAGGTCCACCATCTCCCAATAACCCTGTGGGCTAGGGACCGCGCCCTCAACATGTGAGACATTGAGCCCAACAGTTCAGAAATACTTTTTTCTCATCTTTACACCAAGTGATTATCATAACCCTTGGTGAAATTACCATTTATTATCTACTCTAGACTAGAAAACATCAAAACCAATTTGTTTGACATCATTTACTCTAGAGAAGTCATGCTCATTCAGGGGTTATTAATTTCCTTCAGAAGTGCTAAAAAACATCAATTTTATAACTATTCCTGTGTTTTAGTCTATATTTAAGTGGACAACTCTTAATAGTCATTTTCTGGAATCACCCTTTTATCTCCATAATTTTTCCAAGGCTATCTGCCAAAATTTCTCCATAGTCTATGATGTAAATTATCTGAGCCCAAAAGATTATGTAAAGCAACTAAACATATTAAGACATCTACTTTAAAAGGTCTACTTAAAATGTTTGTTTTCCTGTCTGAAAGTCATCATTCCAAGAGGTACAAGAAAACATGGAAAGAGGAAATTGAGTATTGTGACATTTTAGTTAAAAAATATAAAATTTGTTAACATTATTTCAAAAGAATAAGTTTTACCTGCACTTTAAGTAATTTTGAGAGCAAACATATAAAAATCAGCCAGTCTAGCAGATAAATATTTATGTAAACCACTGTAGGCATCAGACCAATTCCGAAATACCTGATGTGATGAAAGTGCTCTACCCAGCATTCTCAAAAATACACTGGTATAAAACAGGGCAACTGAAATGCCTCCTCCTATTCTTCAAAATCTGCCAAGCACAGCATAGGTTCTACTCATTAAACAAGTCTTAGAAAATTGTGTATACTTTCAGATCAAAAGAGAAACAGAAAAGTAAACTAGAAATAGACAATTCCTCATTTAGCTGGTTTAGATCATGTAACAGCAAGAAATTAGGGTGTGGAGGATTCATATTTTGCTTGTCTGTCAATTTTTTAGAATATAGCAAAGGTGAGTCACATGAACTTTTAAACATCAACAAAATCAGCTTATCAGGAGAGAAGCAAGCCAATACTTCCTACCTTGCAACAAAAACTAATAATGTTTTCCCCCAGAATCAATAATTTGATGTTTTAAAAGTACACCAGATGCTGTCCAGAACATAAAATGATATCATCTACCCTATATTGAATATCCCTTTAAGAAAAAAACGACAGCATACACAAGGCCCAAGGTTCACTCCCCAGCACTGCCATATAATATTTTTTCTAAATTTAAATATTATGTATATATTTAGAAAAATGTAAAGAACTCTTATCTTCTAGCAAAGTATTTAAAATGGAAAAAGTCAAAGCATGAGTAATTATACACAAATTTATTGGACAATGCAGAAGTGTTTCTAAAAAATGAAAATTGCAGGATCCCAAGTCTCAAACTCTTCAAGAAACAGAAAAAATGAAGAGTAACAGTAACTGAATTTGGAAACTGAACTAGATAGGTAGGGAAAGGGGCTTTACTATTTGAATTTTTCACCATTCACATTAGTAAAAAGAATAAGGGGGGTTCTGGAGATGTGGCTCAATGGTAGAGCACTTGCCTAATGTGTGAGGCACTGGGTTTGATTCTCAGCACCACATAAAAAATAAAGGTCCAACAACACATAAAATATGTTAAAAAATAATAAGGGGACCACCTGTACTGGGTTTCAGCTGATTGCTATTAGGGGAATTGAATTACAGTGATGCCAGCTTCTCATTTTAAAGAAGGAAATGTTGAATTTTATGTGAAACCCCCCACTAAAAAAAAAAAAAAATGTGCTATTTTCTTTCTTTTTTCCTTAGAGATGGGATTTTAGTATGTTGCCCATGGTGGGCTCATAGGATCTCTTGCCTCAGCCTCCTAAGTAGCTGAGGCTACAGGTATGCACCACCCTCCCATGTTTTGTTCTTTTTTATATATACCTTTATTGTTATGTGGTGCTAAGTGAGGATCAAAATCAATGCCTCACACATGCAAGGCAAGCACTCTACCACTGAACTACACCCGAAGCCCCTCATTAATTCTTTCAAGCACTGTATGGTCGACTAGTACTCCTATAAGGCCACTATGTTTGGTTAAAACCTGAACAAGGCACTCTGTCAAGACGAGGGGATAAAATTCTGGATTTCTTTATAGGAAGGGGCTGGGCCTGCTGGGAGAAAAAGGTGCCTTTTCCTACTTTTCACAAAGGAACTACATAGACAGTGGCAATCTTGTTTCTTTGTTACCTTTGGATAACATGACAGAGCATTACAGCTAGAAATAATTCATATGATATTTATCTAAAAGGATGACCTTATTCTAACAACCCAGGTTGCTCAACTGCTAGGCCTTTTTATCCTTCTGGTAATGGCAATAGATTTGCACTCACCCTTCCTGCTTTCTGCGAAACAGTCTTTAATACCACTAGCTACATGTGTGAACATATATATCCAGCTGAATCCTAAGGACCTACAAACAAATAAGGGTTACAGCAGCAATAGCCTTTCTTCTTATTATTAAGCTCCTTCCTCGATTTTGGAAAAGTTATTTGTAGAAGTGGGTTGGGGAGGGCTACATGTGTTAAGTACATTTAAATTTGATAACTAATCACCTCCTATATGATAGAAAACTTCACTACTTTTCCTAGGACATTCCTCCTAGTCTAAAAGTAGCTCAGAGCAGTACTTTCTGATACACACACCACCAGTCTGGGTATGAGGAAACTTGGTTCCTAACACAAATCCTATTATTACCTAGCTATGCAGCTGTTTTGTAAGGTTGTTCCAATTCCTAAAAAAATTGCTTCAAGTAAAATTTACACTTATAAAAAGTCATTGTCGTAAGATTAACAATGAAGTTCAAAGTACTTCCCAGTAAAGCTTCTATCCCTTAATGAGCACACAATAGGTATTACTGGCACGTGTTACCTGGGAACTCTACATGGCATGGGAACATGTACCTTGCTTCCAGGGCTACACCACTTCTAACTACTTCCTCAAAATCATGCTCTATTAATATCAGTTCAGTGGGGGATTTGCTATAAATAGTTGATATTTGTTCATACAAATTGTTCCTTTTAAAATTAAGCGTTCATCTTCATTTTTCATAATGAAGAGTTGGTAGAAAAAGAGAAAGCATCATTAAATGTTAAAAAGGATGTTTACTACCTAGTCATTCTACTCTCAAACTGTTTTCCTCAATTTATATTCATGTGATTTTACAGCCAAAAAAGCATAAATAACTTTTATTTACGTTAAACTTATCTAATAATTAATTTAATAAAGCACTGAGAAAAATAATATGAACTAAAAGATTTTAAGAACAGATATACACCATTGTCTTAATTATATTTGCTGACTTCTGTTGCTTAGTGGGAAAAGCCAGGGCTGCCACCCAGTGGCAACATTAGTCTTTAAATGATTTTAAAATTTAAATAATTTTTTAAAAATATACATTTCACAACTTAAATTTTACCATCAATAACTCTGATGTATTATCTGTTTGTAATAACAGAAAATGGAAATATTCATATACTTAGGTAATATAGGAGAAATTTCTGAAAATATGACTTTTTAATGTTTCCTAGTTATGTGCTTTTAATAAGTATTTTGAATTTAAAAAATGATGGTTACTTTGCTTAGTAAATTTTCAGCATAATGAGAAGTATGACCACAAAATACAATGGTTGTTTCCTGTGGCCTACAGCAGTGGATTCAATACTTTACAGAAGGGCTGGGGTTGTGGCTCAGTGGTAGCGCCCTTGCCTAGCACGCACGAGGCACTAGGTCCGATTCTCAGCACCACATACAAATATATAAAATAAAGGTTCATCAACAACTAAAAAATATTAAAAAACAAAAACAAAAAAACTTTACAGAAGCCTGTCATCCATTCACCTAAACTACAACTTGTTAAACAAAAATAAGACTTTAAAAATAATGTAATTTTATCTAACCATAAGCACATTCCATTTCCCCCCCTCAGGTTTATATCAAATTTAGTGTCTCTGTCAATAAAACTCAAAGCTGAAAAGAGGAGGTGCTTGGGGAGCAGCTTAGTAGTATAGCACTTGCCAACATGTATAGAAGGCCCTGGATTTGATTCCAAGCATGGAATTGGGGTGAGATGGAATGGACATTGAAAGAAGGAAGTAAAAATAGAAAATACTGTCTCTTACAATGTATGTTTGGAGAGGAATAAAACCAAAACGCCCTACATACCTTATTGTCTCCTATTTCCCCAAAACTTGTTCATAATTTATTTCACACAGGCATCAATATAACATGTTCTAATACAAGATACTTTGGTAAAGTAACACTAGGAAAAAGAAAGTAACACAGAGCAGCCATTTATATTTTTAAAAGCTCAGTATCTCAGAGACTGCTTTGGTCTCAAGTAACAAGAAAAAAAAAATCAAAGAAAATTCTTAAGAATCAGTGATATTTTTTGTTTCAACAGTTGTAATTAAAAATTATGTTAAGATGTTTCTAACCCATGCCCCATCTGTTTCATAGTAGAGTGAAAATAATGAATGAACTTTTAAAAATAACAGCATACCCAACATACTTGGTATTTACAATGGCTTGTCACAAATACATACCTGAAAATAATTTCTAATTTTCCATTTATTATTGCTATTTCGTCACAGAAAAGATTAACACTCTCCAAGAAATTTATTTGAGCATATGCCATATATAGATATAATTTTATATGAAGAGAAACCATGGCAGAACTAATGGGGTGCCTTTACAAGGAAATCAGTAATGGGAATAAAGAAATTCTTCCATATAAAGACTTCTGATCTGTATTACTCCTTTTTTTTCCTCCAAAATATAAAACCTTAATATTAGAAGCAAAGAGAAACACAGCAAAGAAGGAAACAGTAAAATAGAAGACCAAGGATAAGAACTGTTCTATGCAGATGCATTGCATACGTAGTATATAATGTATGGGCTGAGTTATAATAAAAATACTTATGTATTATAGTCAATTCTGAGAGTTAGAAACAGCAATTTCCAATCAAGCATGATTGGACTGACACTTCCTGTCTTCAATTACATGATGAATTAAAGCTGAGGAGCAGTCATTTTGATCAGCAATATCATGATAAATGCTTGACAAGATATAATTTTTCTCCTTGTTCACTTGTAAAAATTGGTGCCTTTTTGTAATGTTCTACAAGTTCTTCCATGGTGCTGAATTTACGCTGCCCAATGCAGTAGACAGTCTCTTTTAGTTGGACTTTAAAATGCTTGTTTTTCCCCTGTGCTTTTAGTGATACTGAGAAATCATTTGGCTAAAAGAGAAAAAACAAATAATAGTCAACATTTTGAAAGCCATATATTTGCATTTTCATATTAAACTAATAAACTGCTAAACTCCAAGTGCTTAATAAGTACAAGGCACTGTGCAAAATTTTACATTATTTCTTTTACCTCTTAAACTCTTTTTACAGATGAGAAAAATGAGGCAGAAAAGCCAACTTGCCCAATTTCACCCATTTAGGTAACAAAAGAGGACTCAAAACCATGCAATCAAGAGTTTCTGAACATCTTGTTGTCCACAGCATAACAACTACAGTAAATCTTTTAGTTTAATATCTGAGGCACAATAACTGTCTTCTCTTCAGGCAGTCTACTGAAGAAATACAGGAGAAAAATCTCATACATCCACCCCATCTCCTTTCAATTTGTAGCTAATAGTAGGTGACGAAGAGGTAATACTCTGAAGTCTCAAAAATAAAAAAAACAAAGTGAGTGAGAATCAGTCTAAAGTCTAATGGAAGGTCACAAACTCAAAAGCCTACAAGGGCCAAAAAAGTAATGTAAACAGGTGTCAAAAGTGGATGGACAGAGAGAATGACAGTGTACAGGCCAATCTAAAGCAGACACTTGTCATCTGTGATTGTTGTCCTGTAAAACAATATTCAATGTTGGCAGGTCTCATCATCATAAAAGAAAATTATGAAGTCTGGATTCTTATACAAAATATACCTATTCAAGACCTCTACCTTAAAAATTATATTGCTCAAAATAATGGTATATTTTGCCTTATATCTAGCTCTACCCACAAGGAAATACATAGTATTCTATACTCAAGTTCATTCTTTTTTAATTAGTGGGTTTTTTGTTGTTAGGTTTAAAAACAAAAGCAAACACCAGCCAACCAAACAATCTTCTGAAAAATCTATATCAACATTGGAAGCCTCTTTTTATTCCCAAAGTTTCAAACAGTGGGCCAGACCAGACATCTGGCCACTACTCTATCAATCACCTGATCTTCTGAAGGGTTAGGTACAAGCCCCATCTCCCGGAACTTCCCTAAGGAAGTTCAAATAATTTTCTTTTCTCTTTCAACCTTTTATATAAATATACCTTCTTTTTTGTATAAATTATGCTCAACAAAGTCAATACTAATCATGACTTGCTAAGTGGAAGAATAGTGCTATCAATTACCAAAGGAAAAGAGGTAATTTTTAAGGAAAATTAGTGTCATCAAATTTTAATATGTAAGACAATACCAAAAGAGACCAAATAACTATATTCTTCCTCAATTTTTATGGTTTTATAGTTTTATCATTTTACTAGTACTGTAATATACTCTTTATTGCAAATGTATTTCTAACAGTGTTAAAATAGAATTTTTTTGCTTTTGTTTTACTGTACTAGAAATTGAACCCAGTACCTCAAACATGGTAAGAAACTGCTCTACCAATCTTTTAACTTTGAAACAGGCCTTCCTTCTTAAGTTGCTCAGGCTGGCCTCAAACTTTTGATCCTCCTGCCTTAGTCTCTCCCCTAGCCATTGAGATTATAGGTGTGTGCCGCCTCATCCAGCACTAAAATAGATTTGTATTTTAATTTTCAAATAACCAATATGAAGAAACTTAAATATCAATTTTTAAACTTAGGGAATTTCTATGTTTTAAAGACTACAGTGATTATTTTCTAATATATTGCATCTGATAGCAATTTAAGAAATATTTTCCTGGTTTTATCTACTGCATTATTCTACTTTAAATGAAGATGTCAATGTTTAATTTTCTTCCTTTTTCTGTTTAATGCAACAGAACACATTCCAGGAACACCAAATCAACACAACTGGACAAGGCCAAATAAATTCAATATAATATCACTGCTATAGCTATGTTTTATTCAAGATACATGTAGTTAGAAAAAACAGCTACTTTACCTTCAGAACATTTATGCCTAGGTCCCAGCATACAAATTCTCTTTATTTATTTATTTTAATAACCACAGCTCTGTTTCCATTTACCTTTGAAAATCAACTTACCGAAGATTCACTATCACGAATGAGGAAATCCCCTTCATGCCCTCTTTCATTTAATGCCATTTCTGCTTGATGTCTGGTGACTTTGCCATAATACCAAGGATTGCCAGCAAACTTTCCAGTGAGTGAAGGCCTAATGTAATCACACTGTGGAGGTGATGGCTCCAAACCTGAGGTTAATGGATTATTCTGCATAATGGTAACATAGTTTTTTGGTACCAGACCAACCATTCCATTGATCTTCCTGCATTTCCACCATTCTGGGTCATTTTCTGGTTTTTCAATAACATCCATTACATCACCTTTCTCAAAATTAAGTTCTTCATCATTGGATGAGCTGAATGGGTAAAGAGCCTGTACCACATGCAACACTTGCCCACTATTTAAGTTATTGACAACTGCTGCTAATTTCTCTGACAGAGAACCCACATGGTCACCCAAGGGACTGTCACCTTCTTCAGTTACATAGTTTGAAGGGAACCATCCAATTTGTCCATTGTAGCTACCCCGCCACCACCCATCACTGCATTTCTCCATGACGATCACCTTCGTCCCTTTTATCAATGATAATTCATCCTCTCTCTCAGCCATGTAGTTAAATTTCACATAGGCAGGCATATTGAGGTCATAGAGACGTTCCCCTGGGTCAACAAAGCTATCATCAGCAGGAGATGCAGAATCTGGAACACTCGGTTTTCTTTTCACTTTTCCAATGCCTGTTTTAAAGAAGAGAAGGTAATAAAAATGTAAGTGACTACCAAAAACACCAATTTATTAATTATTTAAAAAGAATCCTAAATTCTATGTAGTTTTTTTGTTTTTTAGTTTTAAGCCTTTACATGCAGATAACAAATGTCTGTGTAGCATAAACATATTTTTGGAAATGAGATAAAAATTCTCCTTTTCTGGCACCAAAACAGGCTGGCAGACCAATGGTACAGAATAGAGGGCACAGAGACAAATCCACAAAATTACAACTACCTTATATTAGACAAAGATGCTAAAAGCATGCAATGGAGAAAGGATAGCATCTTCAACAAATGGTGCTGGGAGAACTGGAAATCCATTTGCAACAAAATGATTGAATCCCTTTCTCTCACCATGCCCAAAAATCAACTCAAAATGGATCAAGGAGCTAGGAATCAAACCAAAGACTCTGCATCTAATAGAAGATAGTTGGCCCTAATCTTCATCACGTCAGGGCAGGCCCCAAATTTCTTAATAAGACACCTATAGCACAAGAATCAACAAATGAGATGAATTCAACTAAACATTTTTTTCTCAGCAAGAGAAATAATATGTGAGGCGAATAGGGAGCCTACATCCTGGGAACAAATCTTTACCCCTCAAACATCAGATAGAGCTTTAATCTCTAGAGTATACAAAGAACTCAATAAGTTAAACAACAAAAAACAAAAAACCCAATCAACAAATGGGCCAAGGACCTGAACAGATACTTCTCAGAAGAGGATATACAATCAATCAACAAATACATGAAAAAAATGCTCACCAACTCTAGCAATCAGAGAAATGCAAATTAAAACTACTCTAAGATACCATCTCACTCCAATAAGAATGGCAGCCATTATGAAGTCAAACAGCAATAAGTGCTGGCGAGGATGGGGGGGGTATACTCATACATTGCTGGTGGGACTGCAAATTGGTGCAGCCAATTTGGAAAGCAGTATGGAGATTCCTTGGAAAGCTGGGAATGGAACCACCATTTGACCCAGCTATTCCCCTTCTCAGATATCCCAAAGACCTAAAAAGAGCATACTACAGGGACACAGCCACATCAATGTTTATAGCAGCACAATTCACAATAGCTAGACTGTGGAACCAACCTAGATGCCCTTCAATAGATGAATGGATAAAAAAAAAAAAAAAGGGCATTTATACACAATGGAATATTACTCAGCACTAAAAAACAACAAGATCATGGCATTTGCAGGGAAATGGATGGCATTAGAGCAGATTATGCTAGGTGAAGTTAGCCAATCCCTAAAAAACAAATGCCGAATATCTTCTCTGATATAAGGGGGGGTGACTCAAAATGGGATAGGAAGAAAGAGCATGAGAAGATTACCACTAAATAGGGAAGAGAGATGGGAGGGAAAAGGAGGGAGAAGGGGAATTGCATGGAAGATGGAAGGAGACCCTCATTGTTATACAGAATACATGTATGATGTTGTGAGGAGAAAAAAAAAGTGTGTCATTAGATTGGGTAGAGAGAAGTGATGGGAGGGGAGGGGAGGGGAAGGGAGGATAGGAAGAGCGGCAGAATAAAGTAGACATTATTATTGCTGTATGTATACAGGTGACTATATGACCAATGTGATTCTGCAACCTGTACAATCAGAAAAATGAGAAATTGGGCTGGGGATATGGCTCAAGCGGTAGCGCGTGCTCGTCTGGCATGCGTGCGGCCCGATTCGATCCTCAGCACCACATACAAAGATGTTGTTTGTGTCCGCCGATAACTAAAAAATAAATATTAAAAGATTCTCTCTCTCTCTCTAAAAAAAAAAAAAAAAGAAAAATGAGAAATTATACCCCATTTGATTCAAATGTATGTATTGTCAGATCATCGTACTGTCATGTGTAGCTAATAATAAATAAATAAATAAAATTGTGATACAAAAAAGAGAGAGAGCTCATGTATACTGACATAATTTGGTGTGAACATACTTTATATATGGAGTTACGAAAAAACAGTGCTGTGAATGGATAATTATGAATGTAATGCACTCCACTATTGTCATGTAATGAATGAATGAATGAATGAATAAATAAATAAATAAATAAATAAATAGATTCTCCTTTCCTAATCACAGATTTAATCTCAGCTATGTGACGGTTTACCTTTTCATCTTGGTTCCTGTCAAAGACCTGGAAGCAACTACATAATTATAAAGTTGTCATACATTAATAGACTTCCTCTTAAATGTTAATATACATTACTTTTTCTTATAGCTATAATCTAAGCATAAAAAAGGCTCCACCAAACTCATACTAATCTCATTAACCTGGATTTTATAATTAGCTGTATAAACACAAAAGAAAAACTTAAGTTAGAACTTAATATGCAATATAAAATTGTAGTGAGTGATGTCTGAGTGGGTAATCTTCTCATTTGCTTTTTTAGTTCCCAGAACCAGCAAACTCTATCTCATATTTATTTTAAAATGATGTATTATTTACTTTTTTGTCTCCCTCCACCCATTCACATGTAACCTCCACAAGGGCAGGGAATTTTGGTTACAGACATAATTCCAGGGACCTTATTAAATACTCAAAACTAGCAGATATTTATTTATTTAAGAGAGAGAGAGAGAGAGAGAGAGAGAGAGAGAGAGAGAGAGAGAGAGAGAGAGAGAGAGAATGAATTTATTTATTTATTTTCAAGTTTTCGGCGGACACATCTTTGTTTGTATGTGGTACTGAGGATCAAACCCGGGCTGCACGCATGCTAGGTGAGCGGGATACTGCTTGAGCCGTATCCCCAGCCCAAAACTAGCAGATATTTAAACTTCTAAAATTCCTTCCTACTGTCTCAAAATTTTCTCATTACCCTCACTCATTTTCTTCAGCCAAGTCCCTAAACTTTGGTCCTTTTGAGTTCAAAATACAACCACTCCTCTTTTGAAACTCTTTGACATCCTTGTTTCCATCTTATTCAATTTTGTTAAGTCTACAAACATATTAGAATCTTCTACTCCAAAATAAAGTCACTTCTGCTCACAAACTCTTGAGAATCTGATTCTTTATATCTGCCAGTGCTATCAAAATTACCCAATTAAAACATTATGAAAATTGTGCCATCACCTTACTGCCAAATCTGAATCTTTTAGAGTCCCCAGTCTTCTCAATATCTTCATGCAGCAACCAAAATCATAGACCTCTCTCTCCAGTATGTTTTCTTTCTCTGAACTTTCCTCTGAGTATCCTGTTCTCTCTCCTGACTACTTACATATTCTTTTTTTATTTTTAAAGGAAAAGCATTCTTTTTTTCTTAACCTTTATTTTTTTAATTTATTTTTATGTGGTGCTGAGGATCAAACCCAGTGCCTCACACGTGCTAGCCAAATGCTCTACCACTGAGCTGCCCCAGCCCCTACTTTTAAATATTCTTGTATAGCCTGTGTGGGTTCCTCTAAACCTTGCTATTATGATGTACTTGTGTGTTTTTCTTTATATGAAAGTGAAATTCTCGAGGATAGAAAACTAAATCTTATTCCCTTGTATCTCCAATGCTTGGTAGTACCCACATTAGTAGTAGGAACAAAGTGAATTTTTACTGAATAAGTAGGTGAATAGGGTAGGTTCCTGGGTTAAAAGTATTTTCCAAAATGACATGCCTGGCCTCCCCTCTATTTCAAGGAAATTATACACTCTTCTATGTAGAAGATGCTCAGATCTATTTGCAGCTCTAAGCTCTTTCTGGAATTCAAGCACCAGAATTCCAATTGTCATTAGATAGCTACAGATTATATTAGCATCTCAAACCCAGTACTATGTCCACATAAAAATAATCTCTTTTATACTCATAAATCAATTTTCTCTCCTCTAGTTTTCTGACTTTTGGTTAACAGTTTCATCATTCTTAAAAATTTCTACATCAGAAGTAATTATCACAGTAGGGAACTCCAGGGCTCCCACTAAATACTATCAGAATTAACTTTTGCAAAACCCTGAAACTTATTTAAAAATGTATAAAAACTAGGGCAAGGATTAGTAAAGCAAGCTAATGCTGTGTGCTGTGGGTCATATTAAAATGCCTGCCTACCATTCCCCACACTCCAAGTCAGTATAAGGCTGTAAGGGCACCAACCTGCACTCCCAATGCCTGAGGGAGTGTCACAAATTTTTAAACAATTGTGATTGTGGGTTTCAATTTGTCAGGCAATTCCCGGAAGAACTGGCACAATGGTTTGCCTTGGGTTTGCCTTACTGGAGCATTCCCAGGGTTAGGGTGTCTTCCTGGGTGGCTTTTACTAAATCATTGCATTGATTCAGCAGCCTGCAGCAAGGAACAACAATTGAAACAAGGAACAGACAGATCACAGAAAGCCTGAGAAGGAAGATGATGGGGAAAAATATACATAGAACAATGAGGGATTTTTTTAAAGCTCTTGTAAATACTAGATGTTATGGTTTGGATGTGAGGTGTCCCCCAAAAGCTCACATGTGAGACAATGTAAGAAAGTTCAGAGAAGAAATAATGAGAGCCTTAACCCAATCATTGAATTAATCACTTGATGACTGAAGGAAGGTGAGGCGTGGCTAGGGGGAGGTGGGGCACTGGGGGTGTGGCTTAGAGGAGATGGGGGCACTGGGGGTGTAGCTTTGGGTGCACAGTTGTATCTGGCAAGTGGAGATCTCTCTCTGTTTTCTGATGGAACCACTTCCCTTCACCACACTCTTCTACCATGATGTTCAGTCCCACCTTGAGCCCTGAGGAATGGAGCCAGCTGACTATTGTCTGAGATCTTGGAAACCATGAGCCCCCAGAATATTAAGAAAATTCCATGTATAATGGCATTTAGAAGAATAAAATAAAATAGAAATAAATTTAGCCTAATAAGTATAAATTTACACAATTATAAAATACTGCTGAAAGAAATCAAAGAAAACTAAATAAATAGACATCCTGATGCTAAATTTCAGATTTGGCAAGGGACTTTAAGTAGCCAAAACAATCTTGAAAATGGAAAAG